CCGGTACGTTGGTAGTACTGGTTTTTTGTGAGTAGAATGATATGTTGAATGCACGTGGAAGTACGAATTGTGGTGAAAACAATTGGTGGAATTTTCACGTGTGATGAGCAATACATTAGTCTTTCTCGTTAGGTTCAACTCAAATTCAAATTCTAATAAAAAATTGCGTTGCATATGTGATAAAAGAAGCATATTTATATCGCATTAAAACTATAAAATGATTATACGACTAGTCTTATATCAGTAAATATCACTGAGATCACAGTAATCATTTGCTTGGTTACTAGAAATATAGCAAAGCTGGATTCAAATTAATCAACTCACAATTTTAGACAATAGAGCCTACGAAAAAATGTTGATATCCAAGGCCGAAACAGCAAATAAAACAGCAGAAAAATATAGATGATTTGCAACGTTTAAATACGACAAATGTTAATCTATACAGTATGTTCCTATATTATGTAGTGTAATTTTATGTTTAAAAGTAGACACGGACTAACAAAGAGGTTGAGATATTGCATAAACTGCCAATTCACTAGAATAGATGAAATGGTATAAAGCAAGTTTCAAGTGTAAAAGCAACGGATAATTCAAATTGAATTTAGTTAATATTACATTTTAGATGTGTATGTTTGCCAATTAAATACATAAGCTTTTTAAAAATTAATGTATAAGGCAACATTAGGTTTAAAATAACTTTAAAATATTTTATGCATATTAGGGATAGTGTGTTTTAATCACTGTTTACAATTTACCTTCTAGGTCGTTTGTCATGGCGCAGAACTCGAGACTTTGGATTTAATATAAGGGGAAAGGCTTCTGGGCATAGGTTACAACCTCTACTGCCCTGTCTATTGTAAGTATACCTAATCATATAAATTACTTAATGCAGATGGCAATGGGCAAATCCGAAATTTATTTCGTACTGCTCGCAAACTAATGAATTTTTTGTGGGTGGAAAATAATTTGCCGATTTTTAAGCTGTCCAAATTATGGCAATGGATTTGAAATTTTTAAACAATCTAAAAATAATTTTTTTAGCTGCAATTGCTGGATTGCAATTCTACGGTATCGTGTACCATTTGAACAAAATTGAGCGTTTACCTTACTTTGTAAAGCAAATATTTCCTCCCCTTTTTTGAGTTAGTCGTGTATTGCAGCAAACGCTCTAGGCATAATACTATTTTTGATTAAATGCATTAACGTAGAGGTGTTTTAGGTGAAGGAACATGTTTATTTTGTTATATGCTTTTTTTTGTTTTGAAAAAAAATGTTACTGCATTTCTAATAAGAAACACAAGTCACCACTTGAAGAAATGTTGCATTGCTTTGGTGTTTAGACTGTTTACACTTAAGCTATCCCATCGTCATGGAAAGGGGTTTTTTGCGTTTTTGAAGTCGCCAGTAAAAACAAGAAACGCCTAAAACAACTGCCACATCAAGTATCTCATGCCACACATAAACAGTTAACTTATGAAACGTTCCTGCTGTTTCACAGCCTTACTTTGAACTGGTGTTTTACTTCGACCTCATTTGGACGAAAAACGTGCAATGATTGCACGGTAACAGTTTTAAGTTACGACGCTTCCCTCATTGTAATTCAAAGAGTTTAAAGACGTTATAGATATTAATACACAAGGAGACAAGCAAGCAATTCATAAAACAACTACAATGTTACGTCGTTTTGCTAGTGTTAACCAAACTGAAAATGTTTAAACCGCAACTCTACAAATAGACATTGTCTTTTTGCATAAAACACATCCAACCATTTGTGAGTTCCACCGCTTTCTTCATCTTATCGCCAAACTGTTTTCACATGAGACGCTGGAAGACTTTTATCTTCGCTTTTCATAATTTATGTATACGAAGCAAATGCCCCAGAATTATTTGGAGACATATGGTATCACAGGACTCATTAACAAGGTCTAATTACCTTAAAAATTAGCCATTACTTATTCTTAATCAACGAGCAACTTTTTATAGCTCATTTTTCTTCTTAAACAGCAAGCTAACACGTGTACAATTCGCATTTCTAACTCCTTTTTAGAATTCGTCGCAAGAATACAACACACGTTAATAACAGACTAATTTCCAAAGATCTGCGGGATTCCTTGTGAAAAGTCTTTTAATTAATTTTTTTGTTTCAGTTTGCTAGTTATACATTGCAGTTATATTTCCCATGCGTGTAGAGGACAAATATTGACAAATCAAATTCGTTTTGCGTTTTGTGTCAATATCGAGCGGCATGACGGTGAAGTCATTCACTCAGGGTTCATAGCAGTGGGCTCAAATTCTGCGATATACTTTGCAAGCTCCTCAATTTACTATCAAAACTGCTTGGGTCGATTTGCAGGCGAGATAATTAGGCTAATTACAGAAATTGCCGATGAACGAAATTGCTGGAGAACCATTGACATGAGGTTGACTTGGACTAAGAGAAGCTTTACGCTACTTGAATCGTTCTTTTTAATTTGCCAATTCACAACGCCGCTCAAACTGCTTCCTACTCAAACAGCTACACGTGATAGTTAACTTACTCAACAGCCAGAAAACCAGATGTTACTTCAGGTAGAAACACGATCAGTTAACTAGTTTACTGACATATAGGTTGACGACAGCTACACATGCGAACAGGTTATTAAAGGCCAGTGATACGAGTTGAATTTATCCAACTTTTGTTCTGCTGTTGAATGCACACACACAAACATAAGTATTTCGGATGCACCTTAGCGTCACAAATACAAAAAAATTGGTTTTGCCGTTATTTGCTCAACTAGATTTAATTAAATCTTTCTGGCTTCAGGGTACAGGTAGAACGCTTCCATAAATGTCAACTG